TTTCATGCAACTTCTTTACCGGGTTCTCCAGTTGCTAGAGACAAGACGTGCATGGCGAGGCAAATGGATGCATTTTTGCAGCTTTCATTACGAACGCTACGAAAATTAAAGATTAAAAGGCTTATCTGAAAAATCATTCGACTGGTTGTATATTTAGCAAAACTGAAAATATTTGTACGCAGCCTGTAAACAACAGATCTGCAGCGCCATTGCGGGATGACGGGGTCTGGCATGTAAACAGATAAGAAACGGCCGCTCCATAGCTCAAGCGGTTAGTCGCTGGCTTCCCACCGCGGCGGCCCGGTTTCGATCCCGGGTCTGGTCAAGTGGGATTTGTGGTGGACAAAGTGGCGCTGGGGCAGGTTTTCTCCGAGTACTTCGGTTTCCCCTGCCAATCTTCATTCCACCAGTTTCTCCACAATCACCCTCACCTATCATCTGGGGCTGGTACAATAGGCCAGAAGTGGCCGCAGTACAAGGGACTTAGTCCCACTCCACTAGCAATAATAAAAACAGACAAGAAACAGTAAGGAATGGTCAGAATTGCTGTGGCTTTCCACTCTGTCCATCGTCCGGTATTCCAGAGAACGCAAAGTTCCGGAAACTGCATCTGTTTCCGCCCTCAGGTGAGAGGGAGACACCTACGCTGAGCCCTTCTGGAGGAGCCGCCAATTCTGCAGCTACTCAAGGGTTTCTCAGCATTTTATGGAACCCGAAGGTTCATTACCGTGTTCACAAGAGCCCTCCACTGGTCCCTATCCTGAGCATTGCAGTTAAATTATCACATTTAATGTAAACAATAATAAAAATAATTTATATTTTAGATTTTATTTGCCGTTCCCCGTGTTTGAGATCATACTCTTTAAAATAAGCCCAAAGAATGGGTTCTGGAGCTCAAAAAAGCGCTTGGGGCCGTCCTGCCTGGGTATACACGCTGTTTAAGGCTTAGAACCACACGAAACTCATAACACACCGCACACAATGTTAAAACAATTGGAACACACGACAACCACATTCGTTTGAAGTGGTGAGTATACTCACATCTGCCTGCGAGGGCAGGCAGCTTCTTCTGTTCTGAAGCCGAATGGAACCACGACTGGACTGCGACTCTACGTCACCATGTGCCACCACTTCATGTTCCGTATGTCGGAAACTGGAAAACTTGGATCAAGCTAAATTTAACATACAACACATGGCACTTCAAAGCAAAGGAATTCATCGGAAAGAATTACACAACGAAAGGTTACAAGGTTTCTGTCGGCGACTTTAACAGTGTTGCTCGTTTCCCCGGACAGGAACTGTGGACCCAGCAAGGCGCAGGCCAGTTGCGACTGGCTTCCAGCGGGAAATACAAAAACTCCAGATAAAGTCTGATTACGTAACAGCACATTGTAATGCCTCAACTTGGACAAGTGAGTTAATGGATTGTAAGCAGCCAGTTCCTTATACACAGCGAAGGACAAAGATAACACAGTGTTGTTTTCTGCGATGTGTGACGCCGTGTATTTTTGTTTTATTTAACGATGCTAGTTGCAACTCAAGACTATATGGTGTCGAACTGTATGATGATTAAGGAATGAGGAACCTTTTTCAAGGTACTATCCCAGCATTCGCATGATGAAAATTCTGTCAGGAAAATTGGTCCCTTGCCTAGATTCGAACCGGACACCTCCTCAATACAAGTCAGAAGCGTCATCATCCCAGGTATCATCCTCGGTGACGCCGCAGTCTGGCAATTTAATCGACGTTTCAGAAGAATATAGTTTCAATCTTAGAGGCTAAAAATAAGTGTTACTGCCTGAGCCAACTTGTTCCGGGACACCATATATTCTGGTAAAAGTTTATCGATGTTTCGGAGTAAAGTAATGCCTCCATCTTCAGGATTGAAAACTATGCCGTGCAAATAAGCAGCAAATGGAATTTCAGTATTTGCCGTTTGTTTGGTTTACTCTTCAACCTCTTCTCCTGCTCCCTCACAAAATCTCGTCTCCCATCAGTTCGTTTGCACCCAAGCTTATCTTCTACCCTGACGATGGAGGCAGCAGGTTACTTTGAAATTTCGGAATCTTTTTACTAGAGTTTACGGCGTCACACCCACAGTCTCCGAGCTTAATATTCACTGGTCTCAGATCTGACAAGCATTACTTACTTTTTTTAACCAACTTGAAACGTTTTGTCTCAAACAAAATAGTACAATTTTAGGTATTCACGGCGGTGACTATGAAGAAAACACTCTTCTGCGATGTGACGCCGTGTAGATGTTGCACCTGCTCAAGCTAGTTCGCTCACGGATTTCTTGTCTTCTACCCTGAAAATGGTGGCGATACGTTCCTCCGAAACGTCGATTAACACAATATATACACGGCGCCACATCCCAGAAGACTGCTTTCTTCAAAATAGTACAACTTCATAATGTTCAAAATATTTATTCTATTCCACAAAACTTTCACTACATTTGCATTAACACAAGGCCATCTGTTACAATAATTCAGCTTATGTTTCATCCTTGAAACTACTGAACGTACGAATTTCAATGGGATTTGGTGTAGTGAGTCTGTAACAAACATCTGTGTCCTGAATTACTGTCCGTAGGTTTCTCTGCTGCGACTTTATATTGTAGTTCCCATCTGAGAACTCCACTCTACATCAAAATCAAACCAAACTTTATGTCGCACAAGAACTGACTGTCACACAAGAAATAAGTGAATGATAAAACACACACACAACATGAAGATCTACAATTTAGAACAGAAACACTTGTCAATATTATGTATTTCACAAATTACAAGCAAAATTAACGCGTCTACATGCCTCATTTATCAGTTCAGTCAACAAGTGATTAGTTTTCTCGGATATGACGCCGTGTACCTTGGTAAATGTGTATCAATATTTCAAACGAACTCCTTGCGATCAATTTGTATACGGTATCTCTGGTTACCATGACACTGTAACTCAGATTATCCCTGTAACAGGCCGTGGAGGTCAATACGGTTTTGAGATATCGAGACCCACACATTTTCTAGACAATCGGCTCACAGATGGTGGTGAGGTCATCCTTATGCGACGCAGTTCTTTACCCTCCTGCAAGATACCTGCTACTCACTTGTGTTAAAAACTTAGTAGACTTCAAGACTATAGTACGGATGGAAGGTATAGGTCAAACATAAAATCCAGTGGCCTCAACGGGAATCGAACCCGAGACCTTCAAGTTTTTATCATAGTGCCTCAACCAACTATGCTACCGCGTGCTCCATCGAATGCTTGGATAACAGTGAATGATAAATTGGTGGGGATGTAAAAGGAAGCGGTTTTGGCTAAATTTTAAACTAACTTTCCTTGTGTTGTCCTGTGTTCATTTCAGTGTTAACTTAAAGATGAGTTCCCCCAAAATAATGATACTTATCTACCAAAGCACACGGCCTCACATACCGAGAGATGATAATCTTTATATTTATCACCGTCAGAAGGTCAAATACATCGGTAGATTTAGCGTTTGTTAGAGATATTTATGCATTCACTTCTCTCTACCACAAGAGTTCATCATTAGATGGATGAAACAAAAGAAACTGATTTGTCTCTCCAACAAATTAACAAAAAGAATATGGATTAATGCGCAGCTGCGGTCAGAGGTGTCAGAGGGAACGCGGTAGGAATGTCGGCCCCTGGCTGTTCCACGCCATGTCGATTTCAGAAGTAAGAGAAAAATATGTCAGGGAGAAAATATCTAAATTTGTAACTCGAGATGTGGTTCAAAGTCATGGAGATCTCGATACGGCAGTGAATGTTTACCAGAGGAATTGTTTCCTTCTTCAATGCGGAAAAACAACTGAGAAGTGAAACTTAAATTCCAATATTTTCCTTCAGGTAACATTTAAGGTCACAGCAAGTGCGTGTTTCCTAACGATGTCCTTGTTATTTAGACTGCAGTGTGTCTGCTGACAATACGACTGAAGTATAATGAAGAGAAAATGATTTTGAATGGAGACATCATGGTATAACCCTTTCCTGTATTTTTCTAGAGGGACTGTGACGAAATATAAAAAGCCTGAATCATGATAGATGGTGTCACACCCAAGATTCAAACCCAGATCCTCGTTAATACAAGTCTAGAGAACTATGGTAGAAATTTTTTAACTAGCTGAACAAAAATATTAACTTCTTAAGAATATCTCTGTTCCATGTACTCACTGAGAGAAATTCAAATGGTTTAGGAATGTGTCATCTTCGTTCATCAACGTCATCTGTACACCACAAAGTTCTACAACCTCAAATTTGTCGTAGCTTCACAGATATCGTACAAATACATTGGGTTAAAAGAAAAAAAAAGTATTTACTACTGAACTGATACTGAATTTTAGATGCAGATCAGATACTAGAAAAATAACTTTATCTACAAAATTAATCGAATAAGTCCGACCATTTTTAAGGGCCATAATATTTCACTTGTCACATACAAGCAGATGAGTGGGTTTGCTAAACCCTGAGCATGTATTTTACCTCACTGGACAAAGCGATATATCGATAAGTGTATTCTACCTCACTGGACAAAGCGATATATCGATTAGTGTATGCTACCTCAGTGGAAAAAGCGATATATCGATTAGTGTATTTAAGTCTTGGTACTGTTCACTCTTATTACAGACATGGTTCATTTTGAACTGAGACTTGTTACACCTAGTTCCGTGTATAAAGTCACTTCACAGTCAGTTTGAATTAAACACAGTCACAAGTAAAAAGAGGCAAATTATCCATTGACACAGACAGGAACGTTGGAGCCGTGATAGCTCAGTCGGTATAGCGACTGGCTTTGGGTTGGACGGTCCAGGGTTCGGAGTTTGAGTACCAGTAGGGTCAAGCATTTTCACTTCTTCAATCGTCCAGACCGACTCTGGGGTCCACCCAACCTCCTATACAATGGGTAGCGGGGGTAAAGCGGCCGGGGCATGAAGCTGACCATTCACCTCCAACTTGTGCCAAGGTCAAGAAAATGTGATTCTGTACATACATATCCCCATACGCCTTCATGGTATAGTGCTTAATTAGTTGAGCACAGGGACACCTTTACCTTACCTTACCACAGAAAGGAACTGCACTTAAGATAAATATGCCTTTCAATAACAAATCATCTTACAATTTATTAGACACACATTCATTTCATGTGTTCAGACAGAAAGAACTAGCAAGATCTCATTTTCGTATAAACTTTCTCTACACCTGAATCATACCGCTTTGCTTTTCTTCTTTCTTACTGCTACAGCTTCTACCAATTCTACTAAAATGAATTTGGGGGGGGATGATCAACTTAGCAACCCTCACATAATCAGAGACCAACTGCAGAAAACAACCCTTCAGTTTACACTTGTTCTTCCTTCCAGAATTTATCCTTTTGACTAAGAACTGTACTATACAGTGTAGGAAGAGTGGAGGTAAAGGCTCCATGCATTCTTTAACCTTGGCAATATATGGAGACATCAGCTTCACACTCAAGCCACACTGCAGAGGAGAGTACGTAGGATGCAAATTGGTTTGGAGGGTGTGGTGAAAGAACAATTCCCAGCCCCAGATCAAGCGCTTAACCAGCCTTTCCAGTTCACTCGCTTCTTGCATTAGATTAAAGTAACACAGATTTTTATACCTTGGCTGTAAGTGACCGATTTAAAGTTAGTGAAGACGCTGCAATGACTGCAATTTTTGTAAGCTACATAAAGACTGATCTGCAGTCACACATTTTGGATTGATGCCTGCAAACAGTGACCCTGAAATCCCAGGACTGGGAGCTTCAGAATGTCTGCACACATTGGCCACTCTCTGCATCTAATATCAGGAGTCAGTGGAGCTAACCACCATTATACAACTGGCAACAGCTTGTACGAATGATACATATTAATGAAGAGGTTAACAATTGTGGTTAGCAGGACATTTATTGAGGTGGGTGAAATTTTAAGTGAGTTCTTCAGGTTTTTTGCACAATAACCACAAAATTGGGAGAGAAGAGCTTGCAATATAAAAATGAACTGACCTAGAAATTACTAGGTACTGAATTCTTAGTAACAAAAATCAGTTTTGATACCCAGCTTTCAATAAGAACCATATAACAGCAATCACCATCCTGGCACAGTTCAGTTTTCCCTGTTTTAACAACTACAATTCATCCAACTCTTCATTTACAACCAAGTTTCACAGCCAGAATTCATTCTCAGCCAGACACAATAGTCAAACATTCTGCTACACGGCACGTTTCACGGACAGAATCCAAATTTCCCCCTTAACAAACATTTTTCACAGATGAAATTCATACAGTAGTAATCATTTCACTTCTAGCTTAAAAATTGTATCCTGTCATTATAAAAATGACTCACTCAACAATAAAACAACTTCCAGAGACTTTAAGTGGGTGACTAGTTTTGTGTTCACAAAATTACAGATAAATTCAGGAATTAGTTTCATTCAGCATTTCATCTGATGAGATCTCCTGCTCTTCTGGTGGCAAAACACCCTCCTGATCAGTATTGTTGTTGTTGCTAACCTTCTTCTTCTGTTTCTTTCTTCTGTTGCGTTGATAAAACAAGAACAGAATTAACGAGACTATGCAAATGGTGGCCACCGAAATGATAACAATAAGCCAGATCCTGCGGGCCTGAACAGCTTCGGCTTTAAGAGCAATGGCGGACATACAAGCCTCATGAATCTCCATTGCCTCACTCGTGTTCCCACAGTGCGTAAAATCTGCAGCAGAAAAGCGGTATAAACAGGACTCAATTAACGTGTCAGTAAACAAGATTCAGTCTGTAGACTCCAATTTGGAGCATGCAGATTTCCCAAAATCTTGTTTGAGATTTTCAGTCATACAAGAAAATGGAAACATGGGCAGCAAATATTTTCAGTTAAAGAAGTTTAACAAAAATCAAAACATATAACAAAACCCGAGAAAATGCAACATCCTGAGGTAAGTGATATGGAAGTTACATAATGTTACTACTACTGACTGCCGGGGGCACACGGTAGCGTAGTTGGTTGAGGGGCTATGCTACAAGCTGGAAGGTCGCGGGATCTAATCCGGATGAGGTCACTGGATTTTTTCAATGGACCTCATCCTTCCAGCTGCACTATGGCCCTGGGGTCGACTCAGCCTCTAGCTGAAATGAGTACCAGAAATCTTCCTGAGGGTAAAGCATGGCCGGCGTGTAAGGATGACAACCTTACCGCCATCTTTGAGCTGACTGTCTAGACAATGTGGGACCCTCAACATCTCACAACCCTATGGGCCTTCACTGCCTGTTACAGGAATAGCTTTACTTTTTTTTACTTACCGACTGCCAAACAAACTGATTACCACCACAATTACTGTGTTTCTGGACATTATACATTGTCCTGTTTTTATTTAAAACACACGACATTTCAGAGACTGGATTCTGTCTCCATCTTCAGGTGGAATTTACTCATTTGGGCCAAATCAATAGAGCCTGTCCCTATCTAAAGATCGTTATCTTTCAAAATACTTAAATTATCATCTAAAACATCCCTGAAGGTTCATCACTGTTTGTAGGCCTCTCACAAAAGAAACGCAGAGTGTTCAATGAGATTCCTGGTATAGTGATTTGAATTCTCTACAAGCTAATAACTTTCTAATAATGACATAAGAATCTAGTCACTATCTGATAATGTCACGACCTCAAAGGCATTTTAGGTACAGTTTATCCACATGCAAAATATCCCAACGTATCCCTCCCATCACTTCTCCCACAAAGCAGACAACGAAATCTTGTATATATATATATTGTGACATGTTGACCCCTACCTCCCCAGCTGCACGTAGCGGTAGCGTAGCGCTCGCGTAATAGGCGAGTAATCACCCCGCATCCTGGTAGCTATGCAACGCGCAACGCGCGGTGACGTCACGAGCGGAGCCGAAGTGAGCCGAGCGAAGCCGACGTTAGCCGAGTCCCCGCGACCTTGAAGCTATGCAAAGCGAATCAACAGCGGTGACGTCACCGAGGGATATCGCGGTTGCTAGGCAGCAGTCAACAACTCCGTACAGCGTGGCTAGCAACACGGCATCAGACGACAATTGTCCAATCAAGGCTACATAAGGAGCAGCGAAGGCTATTCACAGTCAGTCAGTCCTGGAGCTACCTACGAGTTAGCCCTCGAGCTACCTCCGAGTTAGTTCTGAGTTAGTCAGCAACCAGTCAGTTGTATTGTGGCATTTAAAGTGTAGTATTTGTGATACTGCGGATAGCAGTAATTGTAAAACTGTCAATTGTGTGATTGGAAGTGCGAATGTGAAATAAAATTCGCTATATCAAATACGGCGTGAAGTTATTTGTCGCGTTATATGCCCAATACGCGACAATATATATATATTCTTTTCAAAATAGAATATATATGAAAATGTGGAACAGTGGTGAAAAAAATCTTCCCTTACAAAAAGAAGCACTGGAACCATGATAATTATTATATATTTTTTTAGTATCCTCAGTAACGAAACATGTCCTTAAGGCCACAGTAACGACATTCATGCAAGTCAAACAATCCAGGGATGTTAAATGAACAAGAAAGCTTTTCCCGAATTGTAGTACAAATTTATCTGCCTGGGCACACCAGTGATATTAAATATAACAAGAACATAACTGTCTTATACTACTGAAACATCCAGTTTCAGGTATTACAAACAAAAGTATTGGGTACAGTGCATCCCTATGTTAGAGAAGGGCTGTGTTCATGAAAATGTGTCCGTGTTTTGAAACTCTGTAACATGAACCATATTTCTATACAGGAATCCAGTCTGTTCTATTGCACTGAACCTAAATATAAAATTCTATGTAAAAAGCCTTACCATCATGATTTGAAGAGCACTTTAACTTGTATGAATTCTGCAAAATAATATTTCTCTGCGCAATCCAAGAGGCCAACAGATGGCAGTCACACCCATCACTGCTGGAGCCTTCGGACAGCTTCGGGTTTCCACTCAGGTCGAGAAATTTGAGTTGACACATTAGCGCCAGCTGCTGGGGTAATATCCTATTCAGGTTATTTCCAGACACATTGAGTTCCACCAGGTTAGGGTACCCTTCCAGACGTGGAAGTTGTTGTAAGTGACAATGGGCTAGGGTCAGGGACTCTAGAGTGTCACTGGCTGGGGCACCTACAAAGCCACCTCCAGGAATCAATCGATTATTGTCCAGAAATATTTTCCTGATCTTTGGTAGCTGAAGGATTTCAGGAGGAACTCTGTCTAATCCATTATATGACAAACGTATTGCTTCTAGATCTTGCAACGGGTCAAACGTCCCATTCTCTATGTAGAGGATCATGTTATCATCCAAGTAGAGGTATTTGAGGTACCTGTAGCGCTTGAAGGAGTCTCTGTGTAGCTCTCGTATCCGGTTGTGGGTAGCATGTAGCAGCTGTAAACATGAGAGAACAACACAAACTCATATCCTTCAACATTATCCCCTGGGATGTGACACTATGCAGACTGATACAATTTCACCCAATTTTTGGAAGAATACATCCTCTATCACCTTAGTTCTCTGAGTTTAGCTCTAGGCCGTAGTTTGTCAGTGCTCCCCCCCCCACACACTCTGCCCACTGTCCTCAGGCCTACCTACATCTCCTACTCACTATTTCACCCCCACCCGACCCATAATTTGGGGCTGAAAAGCAGCCCATTTATGGGAAAATATTCCTTCAGTATTTTCCTTGCTCCTATTAGTTCTCCCAGGGCTATTACACCTATCTACACCCATATCACATCCCCCATTACTCTCCTTGTTGGCATGTGTGCTTATCTCTGCTTTGGGCTGGAACATGGTTGCAGTGTATTGTTCCAAGTCAGTAACTTTCTACCAGATAATTTGGCGTCACATATAAGAAGACAGTACCCTTCATAGTCACCACTATCAAAACTTCAAATCTGACTCACTGCCCCCATTTCAAGTTTTACTTGATCATAATACAGATAACAATAAACCTTAAGAACAAAATCTTAGAAGTTTTCTGGTATAAGAGTCCTCAAGACTCAAAACTGAAAATATCCAAAGCCAGACGCTGGGCATGACACCACAGATGTTCTATCTCCCTCTCATCGTCATAATTTATTTCCCCTTCCTCAAAATTATCTTCTATTTCTTGGTCTTCCAAATGAGTTTTCTTTTTTCCTTTCAAAAATGGCTTTCCACAAAAGTTCTGCATGCACTACACGTCTTTACATGGCCCAACATGGTTCATTGGAAGTATTACAGCAGTACTATATGTCCCATGTAATCCGTAAACGTTGTCATTAACCGGTCAAGTTTCTTCTTACTTCTCAGTTGTCCCAAGCACTCTCTGTCTTTGGACTTATAACTTACAGCCCTGCGTCATGACACAAAGAATATGTAAATTATGTTTAGCTTATGATAGGAATTTAATTGTTTTCTTAGAGAGCCAAAGGCTTGTAGCGAGTTCCAACAACTCTGTGAGAAAATGCCATGCTTGAAAGTATCTACATTGGTACACATGACATCCAATTAAATTTCAAGTTAAAGAAGATACAAACCTCAGTGTCAGTCCTGAGGTTTTGAGGCACTGCCACAAGGTCAAGCCCATAGCAGTCAACTGCCATCATGCCATGTTCTTTGAAGTAAGAACATCTTTTGGGGGTTTTCTTGTTGAAATGACCCGAGTCCACAGAGAATGGCGCAGTCCAACGGACCAAGAACAGCAGAAGAATGCACACTGTCTGCAGAACCATCTCCTTCTGGAAAAAATAGGAATTGCTTTTATATCACAGTGTGGGAACTGTCTACATTCAAGCAAACGTTACAGTCACAACATAAGTACCACTGCTTAGCAACAGCAAGTAAACACTCGTTGGTAGGTAAAGTCTACAACAATATGTAACTGCAGAAACCACCCACAGTGGATTGAGTGCTAGCCAATCACAAGCTAGGAACCACACGCTGCTTGTAAAGCCTACAATAATATGGGCAGCGATGTGTTTTCTATAGGTCCGACTCAAGGTTAAATAAAGAAATACAATGAGTGAGAGTTTTTAGTTCCAGTTCAGAGTTGTGTTTCAGTACAATATTCAAGGTGTTACAGTGTTAACTATTGTTATATTATTAGTCTTCAGCCAACGACCTTCAATTCTTCAAGTTCGTCTGTGTATACTGTGCAACTGCCACGTTCCCATATTCATATCCCTCAGGAACAGGCTGGCCCAGTTTTAACCCAAGGCAGTGGGTTCTCTTTTCGTTGTAAGATTTTCTAGACAATCGGCTCACACATGGCGGTGAGGTCGAGGGGCCGGAGTTTGAGTCGTGAGGCACGCAAAATTTTTCTCCTCTCCAAGCAGTCCAGTTCGTTTTTGGGGCCCACCCAACCTATCTAATTGGTAACATTGGTTCTTCCCCCGGCGGTAAAGCGGCTGGGGCATGAAGCTGACCGTTCACCTCCAACTAGTGCCACGGTCAACAATACGTGGATCTATACATCCACTCATACACCTTCATGGCGTTGTGCTTAATTAGCTAGGCACAGGGAGAAATTTACTGCACTGACACAGCAGTGCCTTGGTTTCCGCGGCAATTAGCTTTAAGATTACCGCCTTCTCGGATGTGACACCGCGAATTTTGTGCACGAGCCTTCATCTGCAGGGCACATTGAAGATGGAAGCAGAAATTTTCTCCGAAACGTCGATACCTATCCAGCAAACTACAAGCAGTCATTACATATTCACAGCTGTGAGGATCTCATATCTCAGTCACGTTGTACTAAGAGGGAAGACTTAACTTGGCTCATCAGCTGATAATGCTAATCATCAGGTTTGACATGATGACTCGAGAAGCAAGACCTTCACGACGAGTCTCACTGAACAGTATTGTAACGTGTTATCACGTGACTTGTTTTATGTGCGGTCTGAGCTGCGCAACAATAGAGGATCTGTGTTTTCTGTGCGTGGTCCGTGCCGAAGGGGTATGAGAGAATATGGGAATAGGAATTGATTTCACTTGAGTTCCGAAGTTCCAAGGGAACAGCAGTGTAGCCAGAAGAAGAATTAGAAGGCTTAGTGTGTGACGTTACATGAGCTATAGTTACAGTAATCTTGAGAGTGTAAGAACTAATTGTAGTCACGACTAATGATGATCCAATAAACCGATTCACCAAGCCAAACCCGCGTCTTATTCACTGAAACACGTGACAGTATAGTCATCACCTCTTTTTTATTCATCTTCTTCCGCTTTACGTCCTTTCTCTCCTTCTTGTTAGCTTTTTTCCCCGTATGGACTTGCCGTCTACCGTTTCCACTGTCATCTCTTCTCCCAGTCGCCATCTTGCAAACTTACATCTTCCATGATGGACTTAAACGTGGGCGCCGGCGCGGCTTCTTCGGGGCAAAAATTCTGCTTTAAATCTTAAGTTGAAATTATTTAAGTCTTTTTTTTTTACTAATCGCCTTACAGTATTCAGAACAGAAAAATCTTTAAACGCTTCTTACTTTTATTATTAAATCTTATTACTCCGAATGCAAGACGTAAATTTTACACATCTCCCCCAAACGTAGAAAAATTTAAACTGCGTCTTAAAGTTCGTGGAATGTGTATCTTTCCACCCCCCCCCCCTCAAAACCCACATTCAAAAACTGGATACCTCTTAAATTAGAAGGTGCCTTATGTTCAAAGGAATTAGCTATTTCGTACATTTATATATTTTTTTCGGTTTGATTCCCCCCCCCCCCCAAAAAAACAAAAAATAGGAGGGGGACAAAACAGCGCTTGGCCGACCCCCCCTCTNAAAAAAAAATTAGGAGGGGAAAATACCTGGCTTGCGCCACCTTCCCCTTTTTCCTTGTGCTGATTGCTGACCTGTGCAATTCGTTTGTCGATATTCTCTCGTTCTCCATCTTTACGCTATGCTTTCTAACTTCCTCACCACACATGAAGCAACATCCATTTTGTTCATACTTCGATCTATTTTTAAGCGAACAAATTTATCTCCTTCTCCAGCTCGGAACGCTCTCCGGTATCAGGCGGCACAAGAGAATGTTTACAGAATTTGCCACGACCTCTTTTCTTCCAGGAATCCACTGGATCACCATATTGCTGCAACGCAATCAGTCGGTGATAAGACAGGTTCACCTCGAGCCATGCCTTCTGTTACGCCACTTCCTGCTTACCGGCCTTCGTGTTGTGAAAGCAGCCAGTAAAGTTCCTAATTGTAACAGACTAATTATCAGTGAATTAAGATAAACAAATGAAGAAGAGTGAAAGGTGTTGTCTGTTCCGGCGTGGTCAGTCCATTGCTGTCTCGCTGCTGAAGTCTTCAGCGAGTACACGCGCATGCTCATTGCTGAAGCAGTTTGTAGTTCGTAGTTTTCTTTAGTAAATGCCATAAAAGTTCCTCAAATCACTTCACGCCCTCTACCCCTCATCTACGCCTCGGTCTCCAAGAGGTCTTTTTTTTTTTTTAGGTTTTCCAACCAAAATTTTGTATGCATTCATATTCTCTCATGCATGCTACATGCACTATCGATCTCATCATCGTCGATTTGATTACAATTAATAATATCTGGAGGGAGCACGCGGTAGCGTAGTTGGTTGAGGCACTTTGCTGTAAGCCAGAAGGTCGCGAGATCGAATCCTGATGAGGTGGATTTTTTTTTTAATTTACCTAATCCTTCCAGCAGCACTATGGCCCTGGTGTCGACTCAACCTCTAACAGAAATGAGTACCAGGAATATATTTTGGGGTAAAGGGCGGCCGGCGCGTAAGGCTGACGTCTCGAACTGTCGTTATATAGCTTCTGCACCGACCACGCAGAAAACACAGCCTCCATTGTTGAAACGTGTTTACCGAACGTTGCACAGCAGCGGTCACGGAGCCGACCGCATAGAAAACGCCGTACTTCTATTGTTGTCTTGCGTGTATTTGGTCGCGAGGTGTTTAACGGTCAGTTACCTAGCAACGCTCTGTCCACCAACGTTACACGATACATTAAACAATTGTCTTGAGTATCCTGTTTCTTCATCCCTCTAAATTCAAAATATTCTCCATAGAACCTCGTTCTCGGTGACAACATGGCAACAGTGTAAAATTGTGAGGTTTCAAACAACGCAGCACCACAGATATGTTTTGGGTGTCGGAGGACGAAACCGAAAGTTAATGAAACCAAAGATTAACAGAGCCCAAGATTCATTAACTTAAAGATGAATGAAACACAATACAAATAAACCCCAGATAAACTAAATCAAATACAAATAAATGCAAGATAAACTAAATCAAATACAAATAAATGCAAGATAAACTAAATCCAATAGAAATAAACCCCAGATAAACTAAATTCAATACAAATAAACCCCAGATAAACTAAATCCAATACAAATAATCCAAAGATAAACTAAATCAAATACAAATAAATGCAAGATAAACTAAATCCAATACAAATAATCCAAAGATAAACTGAATCCAATAGAAATAAACCCCAGATAAACTAAATCAAATACAAATAAATGCAAGATAAACTAAATTCAATACAAGTAAACCCAAGATAAACTAAATTCAATACAAACTAAATCGAATACGAATAAACCTAAGATAAAACAAGTCCAAGACGAACGAAACCTAAGCTAAATGAGACAGAGATGTTAACATCCCACTCGCCCAAATGGGGCCCTGGGCCCGCTGCCTTCGCAATATTGCGCCATGTTTTCAAAAAGATGAAAGATGCAGGTGCAAACAAATGGTGCCTTGCGATACGTTACTACCGATCCGGAAAACACATTTCATGATGTCACTGCTAATTACCAAAAGGCTGCTGCGAGTATTTACATGGTAATATCGGTGTTTGTGTGTCTCATTAAAGCACAGAGATTTGAATACGTTTACAGAGCAGCTCCTGGGAAGGGGATTTTTATCACGCGTCTCGTATGCGATCCTTGGTCCCAACGTCCGCGCACGCGTATTTACGGTTTATTTTACGACGCTGCCAGCAGCTAAGATTTTACGGGATCAAATGGTAGGACAACTAGCGAAGAAATCATTTAAAAAGGAGTCGGAAGTAATAGGTCGTAACCCCTTTGTCTCTATGGCTCTCTAACCCTTTGGACCTCGGCCATTTTGTCAGTTTCTTAATCTATACAGTCGGTGGGACTCCTTGGACGGGGATCAGCCCGTCGTCGCAAGGCCGCTACCTACACACAGAACAACACAAACACATAGCAAACACACAGATAACCATGCCTCGAACGGGATTCGAACCCATTATCCCAGTGTTCGAGCGGGTGAAGACGATTCATGTCTTAGACCTCATGGCCACTGGGATCGGCGGTCGTAGTTTGAGATAATATTCCGGGATTTCTTCGAAGGAACCGAGGAAAATCCTGGACATATATAATCTACGTATTATCGAGCACAGCTTGACGCCTCGGACGCTTTATCTGCTCTGAAATAGATGCTTGTAGCCATTGGATAAGAGGTTGGGCGAGCCCCAGAGACGGTCTGGACGCCGTAGAGAGTAAAGAAATCTCGTCTTTATCGAGATTAGAACTCTTAACCCTTCGGATGTTCAGTTCGTAGCCAGTCGCCCAAACGAGCGCCCAGAACAGCGGTCCTGAACGCTCGTGATACACCCGGTATATTGATTGCGGTCCTTGTAGCTCACGACACACTCTGTATATTGATTGCGGTCCTTGCAGCTCACGACACACTCTGTATATTGATTTCAATCAAAACTGAGGGCTGTAATTTTTTATGTGTACACCTACTTTCTACATAATGTTACTTATTGCACAGAAATATACAATTACAGTAAAACACAAATATGAGGTTCTGTTACAAATACCAGTTACGGTTTTGTATCCTTTTTATGTCCTCGTCCGTCTCTTAAATGCCTTTGTCAAAACATTACATCCCACCGGTTGAGAACTACCGGTCTACAAGTTCCTCTTTAGACACGCGTTCGCACTGTAACACTGCTGTTCATTGCTGTAAATTTCTGGTCCTGTCTTAACTAACTGTGATTAGTTCTGCATTTCGTTTCCATGGAAACAACACTCTTTGAGACAACCACTCCCCTGTTTGGGCTACTGAAACTTAGCGATGCCACAATCAACAATGGCGGATCGCACTCGTCGAAACGTTTCACGCACTTGTGTTGAAAACGAGAACTGCATTTATCTCAATATTTTCCAGTTGTGAGGTCACAGTGTTATCAGACTCTGCTGTTCCCAGACCCGCTATCTCTCGTACTGTAAGAATGCTGATGTTTTAGTCTTAGTTTGGCACCAAACACTTATTTACCTTTCAGGCAGGGGCGATGTCCGTACACTGTGAACTCTTTAACGGAATTTGGTACAGGTTCTGCGTGGCTGCAATCGGTTAAGTAACCAAACAACCGACTACACTAACCAAGCAATCCTCCAAAACAAATAAACAACGCGATTTAATAATATTGCGGCGTGTTGGCTGTGTGACGCGACAAATAACTTCACGCCGGTCCTGGATCTAGAGAATTTATTGCACACTTCTATCCACACTTACACAATTCATATTTTCAGTATCACAATTACATCTCCTGCTGGAGTCACTTCCAGGCTTCAACTGTCTTCGGCGGCTGCTATATTTCAACTGAACTCGGCAATTGCTAGACTTCAACTGTCACTGTCTCGGCGAATGCATTCAATCCTTTATATAGGCCTCTCACGGACCACACAGAAAACAATCTATATTGTTGAACGTGTTTACCGACCGGTTGCCTAGCAACTGTCGCTGCACGGACTCCACTGTTGCATGACGTCACAGCCTAGCGGGGAGGGGTGTTTACTGAGCGTTGCGTAGTTACGGGATGAGTGGGGATATGTGACGTCACTCGCACTTCCTGTTGCGCTATCCAAGCGTTCAGAGTTGTCGCCTAGCAACGCGCCGATACAATCCGCAACTCTCCCGTTGCGCGCGTGCCTCGAGGCCTGTGTGGCCCAAAAGTTCCTGCATGGAGCAAATACGCCACAAATCCCGCAAACCCTAATATACAGTTATACCCCCCTCCCCCTACCACCACTTCCGCATACACCTTATCTCTTGAATTGACTTTAATCTTACATCACCAAATCAGTCGCTGTTTACATTCCCTACAGAACGGACAACACTTTGTAAGATGAGGCACCGACTAAATATTTAGTACCTTGTAATATACACTACATCCTCCATACCAAAATCAATTGTTGATTATAACAAAATGTAATACTATTACTTTCATATCATTTTCAGATTAACATTAATTTACTACATCTACATCACGAGCCTCCTATACAATTTTATATACAAAAATATTGAATATTCCAATTTGTCCGTGGGAACGCAACGAAATTGCAAAACCAACGACTGATTCGATGATACAAAATATCAATCTAAGAATGTTATTCTTGTTTTATACTATAACTTCTGTTTTATATAATCTGATTTATTGTATTTTTACGTCGTTTTATATAACCAATAGTATTGTACCCAATTTTACTAGCACTGCAGTTCAGTGGTGTATATATGTTAACCATGTACCGTATTTACGCATGTATAGGCCGCGTGCGTGTATAGGCCGCAGCACAATTTTCAGACAAATTATAGGAAAAATAATTTTCTTGGAATATTATTTCAGGAGTAGAACACCCTGTATTACTAATTATGAATATAATTTTTTTAAATGAAGTGTGATTTCGAATATTTCGAATATAAGCCGCACCCCAGTTTTCCTCTTGAATTTTTGGCAAAAAATTTGCGGCCTATACATGCGTAAATACGGTATTTGCCTGATGATGGCTACTGATAGCCGAAACATGTAGCAGAGCCGAAACTAGGCACTGATCTTGATATTTGTTGTGTTGTGACGGTTGTAATAAAGAGGTTGTAAATTTTGTGTCGTTGAAGTTTCTGTTCGCTAATAGAAACAGTTTGTTCATGCAGAAATACAGAGGTGTGCATACCCACTTTACCCGTTTAGCGACTGGCTCTAAGAACTGGGCGGGCACTGGATATCGCCTGTGGAGGGGTCTAACGGTCGAAGTGCATTTGGATAGACTTCCTAACAGTGACGTAACGAGGGTCAGGAGGTAAACACGTACGTACGAGTCCAGTTCGGAGATCATTAGCATCATCAGAAATGAAAAGACAATTATTAATACCGAAACATGGCCTCACCGGGAACTCACCATCCTCCAAACTGATGCTGCCCCCCCCCAACCCGCATACCAACGACTCACTCTACTTCACGGAGATTCCTTGCACAATAAACCCTTACACTTTTTTTTTTCCATTCCTACACAAAATTCGAAATTTCCGACCAGGCGATTACTCGACTTGTCACCTGATTTTACCCCGATATTTTGATCGGCTTATTCGACCCTGAAGATTGAGGCTATATGTTCCTCCGAAACGTCGGCTGATTTTTAAGTAACTACACGGCGTTATATACCGGTGTGAGGACCTCAGATCCTGCATGTGTTGGTTATTTAAGGACGCATTCAGTATCTGTCCTGGCGTCGAATCGACTGATGATTTGGAAGAAAGTGATGATGGCCAAATCGAGGTACTATCCAGGCATTTGGCCGGAGTGACTGACGAAAATCACGCAAAATCTCGGTGTGGTCAACACAACATAACTGCATCACAAAACTCTCCTTATTCAAAGGTGAAGTTGCCCCTGTGCTTAATTAATTAATCACCATGACATGAAGACGTATGGGGGAGTGGAGGTATAGCTCCATTTACTTGACCTAGGTACTAGATGGAGGTGACAGCCGTTTTACTCCCCCGAGAAAGAAGTCCAGGTACCGATTAGATAGGAGGCTGGGTGGGTCCCGGGGCTGTTCCGGACGCTGTGGAGACCAGAAACATCTTTTTCACCTGCCGGGAATCGAACCCCGGTAGTCCAGCATGTAGCCCGTCGTTATACAGCCTGAGCTATCCCGGTCTATTATTAAAATAATAAAATAAGAACCAGATCACGGCTCCTAACAATTTCCTGTCAGTGACATGGGGCAATACCGAGTTCAGCGCTCACTCCATGAGCATCTGCAGACGCTCCATTCTCCTGCTGACTTTAACGCAACACCACGTAACAGTGTTCAGCTGATATGGGTGCCAGGCCATGAGGGTACTGTTGGGAGTGAAACCGCAGATCTGCTGGCATGAACAGGACCTCAACCAGCTTGCGGTGTATCAATTGCAGTTTCCATGAAAGTGGACAGGAACGGAACGAATAGAAATCACAAAAACACTGGGAATCCACAACTGGGCTCAAACAGGCAAAGGGAATTATACTAGGATCCTCTGCCAGAAGGACGAAGGACCTGTTAAAATTAAGCAGAAATCAACTAAGATGGGTGGTAGGATTCCTCCATATATCTTCATGGCGCGATATGGAAGGAATTAAGTACAGGGACTTCACCTTTAACCGCCAGCCATTTAAAAAAAAAAGGAACGCGGTTCATCACAGTAAGAAGAAAACTCGATTATTCCAAGAGTTGGAATTTCGTAATTATGCACATTTTTGTATTATAGTTATCATCAAGGGGCGTTCTTATGAACTTATAAGGGCTGACAGTTGCTGATACAGTTTTACTGTGGCAATTATATGAGGCAATGGAGTTCTGTTGGCAAAACTCAGACTGCGGTGAGGCGTTAGAGATGAGCGTGTGCTCACAGTACCGGAAATTTTTGTTTTTGTGAAATTAAATTTGTTTCTGGTGCCTCCGAACTCTGGAATATCGCCCGATTTTGGTTCGAATCGCATGCTGAAAATACAGTGCGTTCAGTTAAGGAGGAAACTGCGCAACACCGCTGACCCGACCCAACATTCCTCACAGATTGCTACTGTAACTGCTGATAGCAGAATGAGTCATTAGCGCTGATAAACGCGCGCCGTTACAGTTACAGCAGCAGTCTGTGAGGAATGTTGGGCCCGGTCAGCGGTGTTGCGAAGTTTCCTCCTTGATAGAACACCCTGTAGAATCTACAAACTTTCTACTCATGACGTCAAGAGCTATCTCACGAACTGCTGATGACGTACTTAAGACTCTGTACAGACTCCTTGATTGAACACCCTGTAGAATCTACAAACTTTCTACTCATGACGTCAAGAACTATCTCACGAACTGCTGATGACGTACTTAAGACTCTGTATAGACTCCTTGATTGAACACCCTGTAGAATCTACAAACTTTCTACTCATGACGTCAAGAGCTATCTCACGAACTGCTGATGACCTACTTAAGACTCTGTATAGTCGCCACTGAAACAAAAGATTGCGATTATTAATCGCCGAAACATAATACACTCAGCGTGGAGTTTCTAGCAAGTAAGTTCCAAAACACGGTCCTACACAAGCACTAGCAACTGAGCGTGCGGATCTCGCATTCCTTCGCAACAATACTATGGGTTTTATACAGGGTAATGCGGATTTCGTGCTTCGGAACAATACGAGTTTTATACAGGGTGATGCGGATTTCGTGCTTCGGAACAATACGAGTTTTATACAGGGTGATGCGGATTTCGTGTTTCGAAATAATACTACGATTTTTATGCAAGGTGATAGGAAATTCATGTACAAGCTATCCACAGTGTGGTAGGTGTTATATAACACACATCCTGAGACGGTTAGTTTTCGTGATACAAGTCACCATCAAATATGGTGACACACTTCTTGGCGGTGCTGTCACAATACATTACGCATTGTCAGGTGTGTGCGCTCAAGACACTGTGCACGTCAGAGGTCAGATGTGATCCAATAATCACGGAATACACACACGACTAACCCTCGGTACCTGTAACAGTTGAGCTGGTACTGCTGCACGGGAATACGCCCTGCGTCTTCCTTGTGCACGTTGTCAAGACGCTAATTAGTAGCGTCTCCGTGAGGCAGAAACAGCCCAAGGACAGTACGGCAAAAGCCTAAGTAGATGCCGTAAATGAGGCCGTGGAGAAGCTCACGCCATGTTTCACGAGAATTGAGACTATCCCAGCAGAGAATCCTCAAAGTATCTCACGACGATCAGTTGCACCCACATCGCCACTCCGAGAATGGATAAATAAACACACTGCACACGAAATATCCTGTGGAAAGACGAACTGTTTCACACGTAACGGCGTGCTTAAGGTTCGCAAGTCAC